CATTTCACTACATTTCCTCAAATCGTTTTATTTTGTTGTTAAGTAGTACATCTAATCTCCTTGGTTTGTTCTCATATGATTATATATTTAGAGTGAGAAAGTATTGATGTACTGATTTTGATTTAGAATTGTCTGTTGCTTTATTCAACATAATATGATAGAATTTGACCTGTACGTATGCTTTCTTTTATTTGTGGAAATATAACCTCTCAGCTGTAACCAGTTGCACCTGAATGACCGACTCCAAGGAAAAGATTAAAAACTTTCAAATGGAACTTGCTGACTGCTTCTCCTGCTTTGCTCATATTCATAAGGTCAAGTCCAGTGTAATCCTAGAACACATATGTGTGTAAAAAATTACAATGCTGTCACAGGATTACATTTTCATTTTCTAGTTTACACGATCATCTTTATAAAGTCCCCAATAGGCTTCTATAAAGACTTTAATATTGATAATTTTAGTCTGTTATTTTTCTGCACCAGATGATTTGAGGATGGAACACTGTGTCATAATCATGGATTGTGTATTTAAAGGAGAACCCAACACTTTTTTAAGAATTCACGTTTCTTATTCCTGTGCCCCAGAACAGATTGGTGAATATTTGTGAACATGCAGCACTCTCCTCTAACGTTAGAAACCAAAGAAACCTTAAAATATGCAATGTCATCCCATTTTACTCTATAACAATGAAAGGGGCCCTGATGCTCTGAGGCCATAAAATGTTTGTGTAATTTCTTACACCAAAATTAGTGTTTCAAATCTTATGCTTTATATCCAATTCAAAATCTGAATGAAACCTGTTAGGAGGTACTCTACACAGCTACTGTAGATTTTAGGGTTAGTGCGGTAACTTAGTGGCTCAAAGTAATTTTTACCTGTATAACTTCAGTAGCCTGACTGATGAAAGCAAGCCTTTGACTTTTTGTTGTTGTGTGATTATTAGTAACTTGATTTTTTTTTTCTGGACTTCATGTTGTTAGTTGTTGGACTCGTTTCGAGCTAGGAGTCCAACCCGTAGACTGTAAATAAAGAGGGACGTAGTCTCCGTGACGTCACCCATAGGTTTTCTAAAGAGCGGTTTTGATGCTCAGAGTGGGTCGTTCCGTCGTCGCCATCTTGCCAGTACCTCACTCAGTCGAACGCCCAGCTAATTCAAAAATGGGCAAAGAGAAGAGGCGCGTGTCGGGCCGAGACTTTGGTGCATGCCGGCTTGTGGCAGGCATACGCTCACCCGCCTGTCACTCAAAGTGGCACGCCCTCAATTCTCCATAACTTTAAGCCTTAATAAAATGTAAACAGGTGAGTTATATAAAAAATTCACCCCCGCACAGTTGTCACGAAGGAGGAAATTACCAAAACTGTTTTTTGTAACAGGCTGTAAACATGTTTATTTCTGCTGTAAAGTTAGACATTTTAACACGGGAGTCCATGGGATTGACTCTCTTTTGGAGCCAGCCTCAAGCGGTCATTCGAAGAACTGCAGTTTTTGGTACTTCCGTGTTGGCTTCATTTTTCAGCCTCGGAGGTTGCCACTTGGTTCAATCGCACTTAAGCCGGATCTCTCGGCCCAGACCCTGCCGAGTCTTTCACAGGATAACATGAATAACAGCAGCATAAGAAAAGTAAACTGGGGAACAAACAAACACAGAAACTTTTCAAACCTGTGACAATATCGGAAGTCACGTGAACAAGAAACGGGGCGTGCAGGGAGGAACCATAGGGAGGAACCATAGGGAGGAACCCAAACACACCGCAGCGGGCTGCTTTCACAGACGGCCCACAGACGGGGACTGGGAGGAAAGCGCGCCAACAATGCTTCACATAAGACGCCAAAACCATCATGGCCGCATTGCACTGAACCCTGGCTCTGTGTACAGTCTGCGGTCAGTAAGTGAAAGACTAAGAATACCCAGGCTGTTATTTCCTCTTTGCTCGACGAAATCAACTGCTAGGTACCGAAGGTAAGTCCGACGGGTCGGAGGCTTTGAATTTACTTTCCCAGCAAAATGGTTTAAGAAAATGTTAATTTCTTGATGCTTCATGTGAACAGTGCAACATCTACTTGCCTGAATGTAAAATATCCAAACGCAAACGTTTAACAACGTTTGAGTAAAGGAAATCATGATCGTATGTATGTATCCGGAAAGCACACACACCACACCAACCAGCTGCCCCTTTGCTGCTGACTCTGCTTGCCAGGGATAGAAAATAAATAAATTTTTAAAATGTGCTCCAATGCCTGTTCCTGTGGTCTGGAGCAGTGTCCGGCCCACTGCACCATCGTACTGATGATACAGGTACACATGCTAATCAGATCTGCTAGTTACTTTAGCTTAGCAATTAGCGATAGCTTCTCTCTCCCTCTCTTGCTCGGTGTGGCTTGGACCAACAAGTGAGCTTGTTCATCAGAGTGTGGTCGTGTTGTAACTTTAGTGTAGAGATGTTGATGTTTATTACATCTTCAGCGATGTCTGTTGTTTTACCTTAGACACACAGCTCTGCTCACTAATGCAACTGCTATAGTCTGTGTACACAGCAGCCTTCAGTGAAAAGCTATTACTCTGACGTGTAACAAATCAGATGGTGCTGTGGCGGGACACTGCTCCACACCGCAGGTGGCTGCATTAGAGCCAAAGTAGCACATTTTTAAATTAATTTATTTTCGAACCCTAGCAAGCTTCAGCCTGAGCTGCATTGTTGACCACCATAATGCATTTTGCCTCCACCTGTGTCCTTAGTTCTTCTTTTATGTTTATTGGTTCTTGGCGTGTCACCTTGTGGCAGCAACTTCCGGTTAAAAGGGTGGTGCCTACTGGATACATACATACATACATACATACATACATACATACATACTCACGCTCACAAATACATACACACTCAAGCCCACACGCACATACATACTGAATATATATTTGTATATACAATATATATTTCTATGTATGTACATGCATAACTGTATGTATATGTATGATAGTATACATGTATGTGCAAGTGCTTAGAACCAGTATATTAGTATGTGCAAGTGAAGTATTCAGTTTTGGCCTAGGCGGCTTCTTATAAGGCTCAATGTCTTGGTTTTATGTTAAGTGTGAAAACTGAGTAAGTCAATATGCTCTGTGGGCAAAGAACATGTAGCTTTACTTTTAAATGTCAGCTTTGCTTGTGTTTGAACTAATTTTAAGTAAAAATAAATGATTCTCAATATTATATTATGAAGAGCTGCTTAATGTCCTTGTTTTAAAAAGATGATGTGATTGAAATCTGTGCACAAATGATATCAGTGGTGAGGTTACACAAAGACAATGAAAGCTGAAGTACTTTTGTTAATGTGTGTACTAACACAGTACACACATTATATCAGAAAAGCACTCATTGTTCCCACACAGTGTGTGACACTACAGGTACAAATACAAATTTTGACCATGTTTTTGTATGTATATGTTTTTTATCCCTGAATCTGATTGGACAATGACAGTACAATTACAAAACACTAACTTTTTAAAAATCTTTCTAGGATTCCTCTTAACAGTACCTGCAGTTGGAGCTGTGTGTGGCCACCTCTTTTGAAACTGATGGAAGCTTCCTGCATAACTTGCACCTGTCTGAGTTAATAATAGTAAGTGAAATGAATTTTAAGTAGAAATGTCTTTTAAATACTATTTTGCAAAGAGCTGTCTAAATTGTCCTGGTTTGCCCTGCAATGGAAAGTCATTATATTAAGTATAATTATGTGTTTTCATAGGATACCAGAACCCACCTGTGGTCCTCCACAACCAGCAAGAAATGGTAAGTCATTGGCATGACTACACCCCATACCTGTATGGGCTCAAATTAGGGTCAAAGGATTTTGTTCACAAATAATTCCAAATGTAGCTGTAAATGAAACTTTGTAAACCTTTAAAATAAATCTGCAGGAGAAATTCAACATGTGAAGAAATTATGCATGTGTAGAAGGGATTTGTATTTGTAAAAAAAGACTGATTTTAAATGTCATTAAATGCACATTTACAGTGACCTCTTTTTGTATCGTGTATGTTTGCATAATTTTTCATTTATTCTTTCTGACATGTTTTCTGTGATTACAATGAACTCAATGATAAAGAAATGACACCAGTTATCTCTTTACAGGTGGGATGGGTATGGAATGTGGTCTATTTACAATGCATCTCCATCAGCATCACAGTGCACAAAACCCAGCATCCTGCTTTCATTCCCTCAGTATGCAACATGAATGTTTACTGTCAACCTGGCAACGGGTGCCGGTTTAGTAGTAGTTAACGTTAGTTTAGCTTATACATATTAACAATGAACAATAGACTTGCAATAGTTCATTTCTTAAAACAAATAACACCAACAGCCATACTATTATAGACCTTAACCAGGTCCTATCACTTAATTTCTTACAACCGTTAACATATTGCTCGTTACTTGTCGCCGAGTATTTGGGGAAATAAAATTGCTCATAGAGACTGCATGCTCTTACTTTGAAAAGTGGAAATGGCGTCCTCAGTAGGCGATCACGTGTTTCCCGAAAGCGGCTGGCCCGAGCGATACAAGTCGATTTTCGTTCAGTCTGGCAGAAAGTTTGGCTCAAACTCCCTGTGTGTAAAATGTGAATCCATCCACAAAGGCCTTTTCACTTCACAAATAAAAAATTGGTTGTTAAATTTAGCTTTTCACTCCCCTTATGATATCTTCACCTATCCCCGCTTCCTCTCGTGGTCCTATGGTATTATGTGTGATATATTTTGAATTTGGCTATACTCTCCGCCTTTCTTTTTTTTTTTGTTAAACTTAGAATTTTTGTTTGTAATGAATTACCCTCTCTATATGAATGAATACGATATTCAGCAAATTCCGGTCAAAATGTAAATCCAAAAGTTACAATTTCGGAAGTAGGAGCTTACAGAGAGGAAGTGAAGGCGGAGTCGTGATTGACAACTTGACTGTTAATTGCAGTTCCTGAACTAGCTGCCAGGTGGGTGACAAATTTAAGATGTCTGACTGGGAAGAGGAGTACAACGAGGACGGCACCGCTATCCAGAACCCTGCCACTAAATCAGTTCCGGTTGAATGGAAATCACCGTGTGATGACCGTCAACAGGGAAATATATCTTTTGGTGTAAGAAGTGGAGCCAGATTTGGGGCCTCAGGAGAGGGGAGAGCCGATCGTATTGGCCAGTACAAAAGCCGGAGAGGTGGAGGCCAAGGCCGTGCGTTATCCCCGGGATCATGCGGAGGTCCGGGACGACGGCCCTTTCTTGATGAAAAGTCAGACTCTTCCCAGCCTGTAACTATCACAGTGGAAAATGCTTCAGTCGGGAGGGTTATAGGTAGGTTTCTAAAGCAATTTTTTTAGTTTTGGAGGCACGCGTTGCAGTGTTAGCTAAGTTTAACTTGACTTCGCTGTTAGCTAGCTATGCTAAATTAGCGGGCGTTAGTTAGCGGTTCTATCTGTGGGGGTATTTTGTACACACATTGCTCATGTCACCTGTTTCCGTGGAGAGATTTTGGTCAGACTTTGAATACATTTTAATTCTGTTAAAGGTCGCGGAGGAGCCAAAATTCGTGAACTTGAAGAGAGCACAGGTGCGAGAATCAAGGTATGTTAACTAATGTTAATATCAAAACAACAGCACATCTATAAATGAATTACTGGTGAAGGGCAGCAATCGGAAAAAATACCTGCACAATGCAAGAAAGCAGCATTTCTCATTGTCTAACTTCTCCAATTGCAGCAGTTGGTTACTATTATAAATGATTGAAGTTATATTATTAGCTGTAAACTAACCCTATACATTTTCAAAATACCAATCAGCTGATAAATGCTGGTAAATTTCTGCTTTGGCTGTAGTCTTCCTACACTGCCCATAGTTTTATACAGTTTGACACATATACAGGAAATCAGTGGTTTAATGGATCTCTTTATTCAGGAGGACCATTGTAACGTCTTCTGTATTTAAGGAAAAATCAGTTTCAAGACCAGAGCCAAATTAGATGAAGTCCAAAGGGGATCAGGGCAAATTCAAGGAAATGTAAACCGGCAATGGACTGTGTAGATTAAAAGTTTTCTCAGAAATACATATCAAACTATAAATAGCTGTCAGTCATCCTCAGAAGTCAACTAGTCAGTATATAGTGGTGTGTACAGTGATATATTTGAAAATATCTGAACAGTTCAACATAATTGGAGTGAGCAAGATAAGTCAAGATAACAGTTGACTGCTGTGGTACAGCCCTGTGTCCTTTGCTAAACATAGCAAGTGTTTCTCAAGAAGTTTTGGATGCACAGGCACTGTGGTTAAGAGTGTACCTAAAGGATGTTCGTTTTATGCCCTGTGTATAACTGAGCTGTTCTTTTTTAGATAAACAAAGGAGACTATGAAGGCGAGGTGGTCATCTTTGGGTCCTCTGCTGCTCAGCAGAAGGCCAAGGAGATGATCGAAGACTTGGTGGCAGATGGCAGCTCTCGATTTCACAATGGTACAAAGTATTTTTTCTAGAAAATCTTGCTCTTGATCTTAAGAGGATTCCTGGCAGTTTTGTGTCTCAAGGAAAACATCAGTTTGCATGTGCCAGAGCCTAAGAAAGTATCATTCCAAATGTTTCACATTTTAATATGAATCCCTTTTGTGTCCATGGAAGGATCTAACTTTTACATTCAGTGTTATAAATCAGCCTCAGGTAAAAATTGTGCTCTATGTGAGGGAATTCTTTATCTTTTTTTTTTGTCGCCAGGGCCTTAGTGAATCATAAGCAAATAGTGTTAACATGGACACAGAATGGAGCTTAAAACAGAATCACAAATCCAGTTAAGTTAGAGAATTGTTCTGTGTAAGTTTTTTGTCCTCCACTTCCATGGACAGGAATATGAGTTCAGTTGTGCCAAAGAAATTTGAGTCTTGGCAACAATTGATTGATACTGTAAATTATATTCTTCAGCTGACACTTCAACTCCCTTCAGTGGTTACACTTGAAGTGACACTAACACCGTTTTCACTTTGACTCACAGTTCAACTGGTTTAAGCATTTACATTTCAGCTAACACTTCAGCTTCTTGCAGCACTTTATGTACTCTAAACACACCCTTTACACTTCAGCTGACATTTTACAACCTTGCTTCAACTTCAGTGCTTCTGCAGTTTGTCAGTCAACTGGACAGCCACATTTGCTGGAATAAGAAATAATGAAGTGAGTTGAATACTGACACTTTGATTTGAGTCATAACTTCGATTATCACAAAGTCTTCTAGCAAAGTAGACGTGTGCTTATGACCTGTTTATTTCTACATCGATCTTTTGTCCCAAAAATATTAACAAAGTTCTGTTACTTGCTGATACTTAGTTACACTACTGTACTGCAATGTTAAAATGAAAACAAATCTCCTGCTACATACTGATCTGTTTCTCAGGTCCTGGAAGGGCGAGAGAGTATGGAGGAGTCGGTGATGGAGGAACGAATGGCTCTGTCTGGTCTGCTTCAGCAATACAGGCTGCCAATGCCGCCCCAGCCCGCATATCCATAGACTGGAACAGCATCCGGGAGAACAAGGACAAGTATGAAGAGCTCAAGTGGAAGGGTGAGGGCTCATGTATTGTCACTAATGTACTTAAACTGCAGCCCGGAAGTATTTGGACAGTGATGTGGTCATTATTTGGCCCTTGTGCCGCACAATGGATTTGAAAATAAACGACTATAAGTTAAAGACGCAATGGGAATTAAACAATCCTGTCATGTTATGACCACTGCTTTTAACTCTCTCTTTGTCTGCACTTGTTTTTTGTTACCAGCTTATGATGATGAGTTTATTCTTGTGATATAAAACAAGAACTTTGTTTGTAAAAATGAATATGTCTCATCCAAGGCTTTAAATTATTTCTGTAATATTTGAAACTTCCTTCAGACCTCCCACCCTTGAAGAAGAAGTTTTACATTGAGGCAGAGTGTGTTTCCATGCTCACAGCAGAGGAAGTCAGTGAATGGAGGTAAATTTGACAGCGTTGTCTTTTTATCACATTTTGTTCCTTGCATGTTTAATAAAGAAAGTACCAGTTCACATTATATTATCTGCTAAACACCAGTATTATATCAAAACTATTATGAGATTTGTAGTTGCAGAGTCAAATGCTATATCCCATAGTTAATGATAGAATAGGTAATAACAATGGCTATGAACCACAGCTTGACAACATGACTATGGAATTCATTGACAGGCAAAACCTCAAACCTTCAATTTTTCCTGATTTCTGCAACCAATGTTTTTCCCTGAAATGTTTCTTGTAGGATTTTTTTTTCCATTACAACTCCATAACAGTTTGAGAATGCTTTGGATTCTTATTTCAAAATAAATATTCTTTGTCCAATTTGTAAACAAGGAAGAAGAAAAAACAGCACACACTATACAGTTCATTTTCATGTGGTTTTTGGAATGCTGCATAAAATGGAGTAAATGCGGTTTCTGAAACATAAATTTTAGCTAAATACATTTCATATTCATCTTTGTCTTGCTAGGCGGTGTGGTTTGAAATCAACCATTTTAACTTCCATGTTTATGTTTGTGTTATATTTTTCCACAGGAAGGAGAATAACAATATCTTTGTGGATGACCTGAAGGAGGGAGGGGAGAAACGGCCCATCCCCAATCCCTGTCGCACTTTCCTGGAGGCCTTTGAGCTTTATCCAGAGATCATGGAAAATATTGAACGAGTTGGCTTTGTCAAACCAACCCCCATCCAGGTATGAGCGTAGCGTCTGGGCAGATATATTTTTTGTTATATCATGCTATAGGTAAATATACGTATTGACAAGAGTCAAATCTGGCTGCTCTTAATTACCTAGTGGGCGTGCGTATACTGTTCTTTGAATCTGTAAAAGGCAGGTTTTTTCCCCTGAGGCAAAAAGAAAATTACCTGAAAGGTGCAATGCTCTTTCTCATGGGTTGTACTAAAAGAAAATGGCACAAAGTGTTGCTCAGAAATAAAAAATAGAATTACTTGAAATTACTTTGTTAATGTATTTTCTGGTCAACCAGGGAGATACCTAAACCTCTGTCATGTAAAATGGATCATGAGTTGTTTTTGATTACTGTAAATCAGCAACTTGGCATCTTATATTGGAACAGAAATTTCCATGCGTGTCACTATGTGTGGTTAAAGGTTGCACCTGTAGTGACCTGTCCTGTTCGTTGTGTCTGTTTGCCGCGGGCAATCCCCTCCATTTACAAAGATCCATATTTGGAAATACCCACATGAACGGAAGCCTTGACGGGAAATATTGAGCCCTTTTTTTTTCTTCTTTAAATTCTGTGGTAATAGTCTTCCCAAAAAGCAGAAATGAAAGGACATTTTTTATATTCTTTTGGTAATCCTATGAAACCTCATGTTACCTGCTTAATCACTTAACTGGCTGCAACAGAGATGTAAAAATGAATAGTTCAGAACAAATTCTGGTGTGTTACATGAAAACAAAAGGGAAACATACAACATGTCCTGCTTAGTTGTGAGTGAGCCTTCTGTCTACAAGAAATGTAATATATTACAATTAAGATTTTTTTCAGTTTTATATCTTTACACTTCTCTCCTCCATTCGATTACCAGCCATTACTAGTTAGGTCACATAAAATGATTGTACTGAGTGCAGGTTATTGATGACAATGATTTCAAGTAGAACTTTTTTGATGTTAAATAGATCCTTCTGGGCTGAATATCTACAACCATCCAATCAACCACTGCTGGGAAAGATATACTTTTAAAAAAACAAAACAAAAAAACATTGTTTTTCCTGACAAATTTTGACCTATCAAGTAAAGAAAGGATCACACAGAATTACAGAATAACAGTGTGTGCTGTAACCTTGCTTCCCTAACTTAAAGTTCTCAGACACTCAACAGTACACGTGTCACTGAATGTACAATTACCGTAAAGTCAAATGAGTTCTGTCATATTAACTTTCATTGGCTCAAAAGACGGAGGGAATGCAGAAAGGCAAGGTGTTGAGTCAGTGACACTGTCACAAAAGACAAGATGCCACATTAGAGACTGCTCAGGAAGGAGGGGCGGATGTAGTATTATTGTGATTATTAATCACCGGTTCCCGTCACATAACATGAGACAAACTGTAGGTCATTGTAGTGGCTGTAACACCCCATTGTTTCACCCCCATACTTAATGAACCTATGCTACAGAAGTCAAACCTGTTTAAAACATTCAGGCATGTATCTCTATAATACCTCAATGTAAATCACAGGTGTCACATTGGATCAATATACATATAATTCTAGTGTATTTTAGGCAGGTTTGTGGGCATTTTCCTAAGTTTTCCAGGGCCTCACAGACGGGAAACGTTGCTCACCCGTATGAGAGTAAGCTGCTAGGAGAAATGAAACTGCAGCAACTTTTTCTGATTTAACTTTCATTTCTCAATAAGAGGCTTGGTCCGATGGAATGTAAAACCAGTGACCTGTGTTTTCATGTAGCTGCACAGCCGGTTCTGTGTAATGCAGTTACAGGTTGACAAACATGCTGTAATCAGGCGGTCTGCTGGTGTGCTGCCCCACCCTTGGCTTTGATCCACTCTCCATTTTTAGTAATACCTGCTGGTGCAATGCGGTTAGATTGGTATCTGTACTAACGAGGTCTGTGGAAAATGTTTTTGTGGCTGTTCATCAAGAACTGGCTCCAACCTGTGACTTCCTCCTAAATCATAAATTTGTAATGAACAGGTGAAACATTGTGCAACTATTGAAGTTTTTGAGTTGTTGGTAGTAAATGTTACTTTGTGTTGCCTCATGTTATTATTTCTACATCAGACTAAACATGCCCAGACTCCTGCTCTGTCATTAAACCTACAGACATGAGTTGTATTGATTATTCCCATCCAACTGTTTGAAAGTATATTTCCCAAAATGTTGTTCTTAAATGCTGTTTTAACCAAATCTTAAATTTGAATGTATACACACAAAATTAAATTTTTTTTTAATATGTGAATTAGATTCTTCAAATCTGAAGGTGGTTATTCTGAAGGTTAATTTTAGCTATGCCTGGACTTAATTTAATAGAAGTTATGACTTAAACATCAGCTTCTGAGCGATTTTGTACTTGGTCCTATGGTCTCACTTCAAGGAAAGATAACTACTCTCTTTCTTTTAAGAACATAACTCATATTTAGGGTAATCATGTAACCTACTTAAATTGGTGTTCCCATCTTCCTTAATGGTGTCTGGATTGTTTTTGATAGTTGAATAGTTATTTTTGCATTCTTTTAATTTTGTAACACACACATACAACATATTATCGAAGCAGTTACTTGGTCAGTCAGTCTTTCGCTACTTGTGGTTTTTGCGTCTGTGTTGCTTAAATCTTTGTATAAATGTATTGCAATGTTTTTGTTTGTTTCTTCACCAGTCTCAGGCATGGCCAGTGTTGCTGAGCGGGGAGGACCTGATAGCCATCGCTCAGACGGGAACAGGGAAAACCCTGGCCTACCTGCTGCCAGGGTTCATCCACATGGACGGACAGCCTGTGTGAGTACAGGACCTGTTCCTCACTTGGCATATTATCTTTCCTTTTATTTGTTAAAATGCCAAATGTGCATTGATGCAATTTTTCCAAACAGTGAAATTATTCTTTCCTTTAATTTCTTTCAGTTGTGCTTGATTGACTGTCAAAGTCTTTATGTTCTCATTCCTTCCTAGACCCAGGGCTAAGCGCAGCGGTCCGGGCATGTTGGTGCTGACTCCCACCAGAGAGTTGGCCCTGCAGATTGAAACTGAGTGCAACAAGTACCGTTATAAGGGCTACAAAAGGTCCTGCAGTCTTATGTTATAAGTCACTAAGGATGAGCTTTGAACCAGTAATTAATTGCAGTGTAGAGGCAACATGATCATGACTGTTCCCTCTGTACCTTCTCTCAGTGTCTGTATCTATGGCGGAGGGGATAGGAGAGGCCAGATCAACCTGGTGAAGGGCGGGGTGGACATAGTGATCGCCACACCAGGCCGACTTAATGATCTACAGATGAACGAGCTCATCAGTCTTCGCTCCATCACCTACTTGGTCAGGTGTTTGTCTGTGCATGTTTGTTTTGATGTGAGAAGCATGATGGGGTGGGTTCACTGGCCATAATAGTATAATAGTTTGTTTTTTTAAGTGCCTTATACTATCTACACATTTCAGCACTGCTCACGACAGTGGGAATTGCACTCCTAAGAATAGCAACACGAGTGCCTCACTCTACTCGGGTCTTAGGTGCAGAGTAGCAATAGCTTTTCTTTCTTAAATGTTGTACGTGGTTGTTCTTTTAGTAACTGCTCTGATCATCGGGAACAGGTGCTGGACGAGGCTGATCGTATGCTAGATATGGGCTTTGAACCTCAGATTATGAAGATTCTTTTGGACATCCGCCCAGACCGACAGACTGTCATGACCAGGTACAAGTCGAGTCGCATGAAGCACTTGTTTGTCATCACATGATCAATGAACATGACAACAGGACACAAGTACGGATGCAGTCCCAGGCAGAAAGTATTTCAGACCTTGAGCATTGTTGGTCAATGTTCATCCACAGTTTGGAGATTCACTGTCTACAGAGAAAAGTTCCCGTGTCACAACTTTGTATAATTGATCTACATTTTCTTGAAGGAAAGGAAGATTATACAATAGATAATGCAAACTTTTTAAAGAAAATTCAACACCTCCATTCATTTAGTTTGTAACACATAAGCTATACAACAACTCAGCCAAAGGAAGTAGACTTATTTAATTATTATTGTTTATTTATTATTAACTGTTATTATTATTATCAACAATGAGCTAATGGACACATGAATTTCCCCTAAGGGATAAATAAAGTATCTGTCTACACACAGAGGTGCTATGGGGATGTTCTTTGAAATGTTTTAGGATGTACACCATAGAATTGAAAATGCACTTCATTTTTCCATAAACTCCCATGTTTCAGTGCCACCTGGCCCACTGGGGTGAGACGATTGGCCAAATCCTACCTAAAGAATCCCATGATGGTTTATGTCGGCACCCTGGACTTGGCAGTAGGTGGACATAAATATATGTATATTGATGTGATGACCAGGTACTTGATGTTTATATGTACCACTAACTGAATTCTGGACACATACCGTCTGTGTCTCCGTCATGTCTCTGCCGCTAGAAAAACTGTGTAATTTTTTTTTTTAAGTTTAATGGCTCTTTGAAGATGATGCCGTGTGTTCACAGCTGGAACACTTCCTGTGTTTCTCTTAGGCAGTTAACACAGTGCAGCAAACAGTGCTGATCGTCCATGAAGATGAGAAAAAGTCCTACGTGTTTGACTTCATCAGAAACATGCTGCCCCAGGATAAAGTCCTCATCTTTGTTGGCAAGAAGCTTGTGTAAGTGGGAAGTCGGTCACTAACATAGGGCTTGTAAATTGTGGTTTTTAGCTAAACCCACAGTTCCTGGTAAATACCAGAGTTAACCACACATTACATAGGCAGCGCATACCACATACACATACAACAGTGTCCTGTGTTTATGTTTGTGTCTCTATTTGCATGCAATCTCAGGGCTGATGACCTGTCCAGTGACATGTGTCTGCAGGGTCTGGCTGTGCAAAGTCTCCATGGTGACCGTGAGCAGTGTGACCGTGAGGAAGCCCTCAAGGACTTTAAAGAGAGTACGTAACAAGAAAGAAATGTTGCTGTTGAAGATCTGGTGGTTAGCTGGTGCTCTTACCTTGAAGCCTACGAGCAACCACAAGTGTAAGCTGAGGGATCAAACTTCCCACAGATTAAATAAGTATTAAATGTATTTCCCAGGTCGAGTTCGCATCCTGGTCGCCACAGACCTGGCATCTCGAGGGTTGGATGTCCATGACATAACACATGTCTTTAACTATGACTTCCCCCGTAACATAGAGGAGTACGTCCATCGTGTGGGCCGCACTGGCCGAGCTGGGTAAGGCTCTGTGCATGTACATTTTCCTGGGGTCACATGATTGAAATTCACTGCCAGCATCTAGCTGTTCTTGGGTTAGTTTGTGATGTTGATGCGTTAATGTTCCAGACGTTCAGGTGCAGCTGTTACCCTGGTAACAAGAGAGAACTGGAGGATGGCCCCTGAACTGATTCCCATCTTGGAGCGAGCAGGACAGGTTAGGACACATTTTATATCAACATATCAACTACAATGTGTATGATAGAAAGTTCAGGCATGTACATGAGTATATCTTTTGTGATTTCACAAGAGTCTAATAGGATTTTATGTTCTTAATGAATAAGCCATTGTACGCTGTAATGGGTTTCACTTCATGAGACGCACAAACACAAAACGTCTTGTGAGATAAAAATCTTTATTTGAAAAGAAAATATTGAAATATTGTTCCCCGATGTTCATGGCTCTAAGGCACTAAATCAGAAAAGAATGCTTACTCTCCGAGTTGTTTTTGCAACCTGACAGCTGAGATGAAGTGTTATCAAGAAGGAAGTATTTGTAAAGTCATCAATTTTTCCAAATAGATTTGATAATATATCTAGCAAGCCATAGTTAAGTGCATGTAATCAATGTGAATCCTGTTGCAGGATGTTCCTGAGGAGCTGGTGGTCATGGCAGAGAGATATGAGAAGCACAAGAGGGAGAAGGATATGTACAACCCACGGGGAGGACCAGGACAAGGAGGGGGAGGGGGAGGTGGGAGGGGGAGGGAGGAAGAAAGAGAGAGGGGGGTGGGGGTGGGGAAAGAGAGAGGGTGGAGGGAGAGGAGGTAGAGGAGGCAGGGATCGAAGCCAGGACTGGGGATTCTGATGCATGACTGTTCATGTAAGTCCACACATTCCACTGTGTTTCCTACACAGGTCCACAAATGGATTCATATAATCTGTATAAATCTACAGATATAAACTTAAATGTCCCCACTTTTTGACATAAGTTTGTTTAACATAGAAAGTATCGAAATTGCTTTGTCTCTGGTATTCTAACTGGACTAATGTTAAATTTCTTACACTTTGGTTTTTTTTTTTTTGGTTTTATTCTCAACATGATGGAGCAGGATCTGAAACTGCCTGTGTTGTAATTTGTCTTGAATGTATGTTTCATTTTCTTGTTTTATTTGACTTTCTTTAATTTGAAAATATGTTTGTTTGTTTGTCTTTTGCTGGATTAGTATCCATCATCATTTAGAAGCAGTTACACTCATTATGTTGTCCTCCTGTTTGAAAAATGTTTAAAATGCACATTTTTTTACAATTTTTTTTCCGTTTGTAATTCACCAACCACAGGAGTGTTTCATATCACTCTGAATATTTTGTTACATAATTTTTTCGATTTGAGCAGAAAGAAATCTGTTTAATAAATTCTCCTTTGAAAGAGAAGTGACATTGTATATTTTACTGCCTTGGTAACTTGAAATATTCACTTTGATACAGTAATGATCAAATCTGCTTTGCACATTTATATACCTCCACAATCATGGGAGGAATCTGCCTGAAAGATACTAAAGGTAATTAATTTGTTATTTTATTGTGATCCTCAAAACCTGGAAAACAGTCACTTCTTTAACACCCAAATTTTAGGAATAAATACAGGAACACAGCTGTAGATTTCCATAATAATTGTACATTTCACAATTATCAGTTTGATTTTTTTTTCCTGAGTCCTGTTGTACCAGCTTATGTATATTTAGCTTCAGCAATCAATGCAGAAAAGAAGAAATGAAGGAGAGTTTGTCTGCACTTCTGACAAGGAAGCTGCGTAACTGTAAAAATATTGTAACCATAACAATCATTGAACATTCCTAAGCTACTCTGTTGTTGCATAAAGGAAGATCAAATTCAATTGAAAATTCATGTATGATGATTGACTTGTTTTACATATTTTAGTGCTGGGAGACACCCAGTAAAATATCTCAAATTTCTAATGTCAGAAGTTTCCACCAGTGCAGTATTTGTATGTTTTTTCCACTGAAATGAACAGGAACTAGCTTAAACTGGATTTTCATGTTACTTTTCATAATTTACGTTGCAGAGTGGTTTGGCTGTCTGCTTCATCAGCTTCTGTGGTGTGTATGGACAGCTATCACTTCAGCCTCAGGTAAGATGCTGTCGTGCTATTTTCTGCATGAGTTTGTCAGTGAATAAAATGAAAAATAACACACACACAGTTTATGTCTTGAGTTAAATTGTATTGCACAATAGGGAGGAGAGAAGCCACAGCATACAATACCACAAAGCCAGTCTGATCTGCAGCGCCTAGTCATCTGAGGCAAACACCCACACACACACATTCTGACACATTGCCAGGTTCATGCAGTTTCTACCAGCTTCTACCCTCTTGTACTTACATAAATAAAAGAAGACATTCCTGTAGTTTTCCCACTGTTTTTATTAAAAGGCTTAAAACATGAAAGACAGAAAATTTGCCTCTTGCATAAGGCTTACACAACTGTAAACTGTAAATGATAAATATATATAGTTGTTAAAAGAAATCCTTATATCATTTAGAAAATGGCATCACAATGCAAATTTTCTTGCATAAACGCCATTTCAAGACTACATTGGATTTTTTGTTGCTCAGTTTTTACTTAGAGGCTGTTTAAAGTATTATGGAGTTGGAACAGTTGCAAGTCGAACACTTCCTCTTTGTTGTGAAGTTCTCACTTGAAAATTGGAAAGCCGCTTTTACATTCCTGCTTGATACAATGAGCCAGGCTGTCGCACTTCTTCCGGCCAGGACCAGAGAGAAGGTTCTGACCTGGGATAAAGAAGTTAGGGAGAAAACCTTCTTCCAGATGGCCTACAAAGTCCTTCAGGAGCTGCTGAAAACACTGGCTCAGATCTGAGGCCATCCAATCACTATCTTTAGTTCTAGTGCAGCAGGCATGAAAGAAGGTGGTCTTGGCGTGGTAGGAGCAGAACTTGTCAAATGAAGTATTTTTTTCCTTCAGCAGACTGAGAAGGTGTTTTAGGAGCTTCAAACAATCCTTCCTGTATGTAAAGAGGGATTAGATAATTCTCAGATGAGTCATCAAGGAGAATAATTATGATGAGTTATTCAAACTTTAAGTTTATTTCTATTCTTTAATGAAATAAGTTGTCCTCAGGGTATCTGCAGGTTTTGAAAATTCCTCAAAAAGATCTAAATTCTGTTTCCTCAAAAAAAAAAAAAAACACATGACATTTTATGTCTTACTATACTATGACGTTTTTTGACATTTTTATGCCTTACTATACTGACTTATTGGACAGTTTGATGCCTTAATATACTATGGCATTTTTAGACAATCTTATGACTTACTATACTGAGACGTTTTTTGACATTTTTATGACTTACTATACTATGATGTTTTATGCCATACCATACTATGATGTATTTTGACATTTTATGCCATATTATACTATGACGTTTTTGAGACAATTTTATGACTTACTGTACTATGACTTTTTGGACATTTTGATGCCTTAATATACTATGACGTTTTATGCCTTACTATACTATGATGTTTTTTTGACTTTTTATGCTTTACTATACTGAGACGTTTTTAGAAAATTTTTTGACTTACTATACTGTGACATTTTTTGACATTTTTATGGTGTACTATACTATGATATTTTTATGACTTTTTATGCCTTACTATACTGAGACGTTTTTTGAAATTTTTATGTCATACTATACTATAACGTTTTTAGAAAATTTTATGACTTACCATACTGTGATGTTTTTTGACATTTTTATATCATACTATACTGTGACGTTTATGAGACAATTTTATGCCTTACTATACTATGGCGTTTTTTGATAATTTTATGTTTTGCTATACTATGACGTTTTTTGAAAATTTTATGCCTTACTATACTATGACATTTTTATGCCTTACTATACTATGATGTTTTTAGACAATTTTATGCCTTGCTATACTATATTTTTTGATAATTTTATGTCTTACTATACTATGACATTTTATGCCTTATTATACTGTTTTTATGACTTTATGCCTTACTATACTATGATGCTTTATGCCTTACTATTGTTTTTTGACATTTTCTATGACTTTTTGGACATTTTGATACCTTTACATACTATGACGTTTTTAGACAATCTTGTGCCTTACTATATTATGAAGTTTTTTGACATTTTTATGCCATACTATGCTATGACATTTGTATGCCATACTATGCTATGACATTTTTCAACGTTTTATACCAAACTATATTATGAAGCTTTTTTACGTTTTATGCTATAGTATACTATGACGTTATGTCTTCCTATACTATAACATTTTATGCATTATTATACTATGATGTTTTTATGACTTTTTATGCCTTACTGTACTGACGTTTTATGCCTTACTATACTATGATGTTTTTTGACATTTTTATGCCTTAGTATACTATGACTTTTGATGCCTTACTGTACTATGACGTTTAACGTTTTATGCCTTACAATACTATGATGTTTTTTGATATTTTATGCCCTACTATACTATGATCTTTTTGTGACTTTTTATGCCTCACTATACTATGATGGTTTCATGACTTTATTTGCCTACTTATGCCTTACTGAACTATGACGTTTTTATGCCTTACTACAGTATTATGTTTTTGTGATTTTTTTTTTTTTTATGCCTTGATATACTATGACGGTTTTATGACTTAAGACTTCATTTTAAAAATTTGCTGTCTCTCTGCTGTCATTCAACTGTCATCTCAGCACTTTGAAGAATCTGCAACCCACCTCCATCCTTTAACCACCTTAACCATGGACAGCAGACCATTTCAATCAAACCATCCAATCAGAAATTTCCCTCATGAAGACATTCCCATTCTCGAGCTCGATTCCTTCTCATCACCATCACCAGTGTATAGACTCTGGGGGAAGATTCCTGTTATTGGAAGGACCTTACTTTACTATGACGTTTTTATGCCTTACTACACTATTATGTTTTTGTGATTTTTTTTATTTTTTTTTTTTTATGCCTTAGTATACTATGACATTTTATGCCTTACTATACTATGACGTTATGACATTAAACCCATGGATCAAAGTCTATTACTTCTGCTCACAATAAATTTTATTTTACCAAAAATTTCAATCTCTTGTTCTTCTTGTTAGTCTCTCCTGATTGAATGACGTTTTATGCCTTACTATAGTATATTTTTATGACTTTATGCCTTATTATACTATGATGTTTTATGCCTTACTGTACTAAGATGTTATGACATTAAACCCATGGATCTTGTCTAAGCAACAAAGTCTATTCCTTCTGCTCACAATAAATTTTATTTTACTAAAAATTTCTGTCTCTTGTTCTTCATATTAGTCTCTCCTGATTGAATGACGTTTCATGCCTTACTATCCTATGACATTTTTATGACTTTTTATGCCTTACTATATTAAGATGTTTTGTCATACTATGATGTTTTTTGGCATTTTTATGCTTAATTATATTATTTCGTCTCATGCTATGATGTATTTTTGACATTTTATGCCATACTATACTATGACATTTTTTTTCATTTTTCTGCCATATTTTTTGCCGTTTTTTGGCATTTTTACGCCTTACTATACTATCTCGTTGGATGCCTGACCATACTACGACGTTTTTATGACCTTTTATGCCTTAATATACTATGATGTTGTTTTCACTTTTCTGCCATACTATACTATGACATTTTTTTCATTTTTCTGCCATATTTCTTGCCGTTTTTTGGCATTTTTACGCCTTACTATACTATCTCGTTGGATGCCTGACCATACTACGACGTTTTTATGACCTTTTATGCCTTAATATACTATGATGTTGTTTTCACTTTTCTGCCATACTATACTATGACGTTTTGTGGCATCTTTAAGCCTAGTTATATTTTTTCGTGTCATGCCTTGCCATACTATGACATTTTTATCACCTTATATGCCTTAATATACTATGATGTATTTTTGGCATTTTATGCCATACTATACTATGACGTTTTTTTCATTTTTCTGCCATAATATGTTTTGCCGTTTTTTGGCATTTTTATGCCTTACTATACTATCTCGTTTGATGCCTGACCATACTACGACGTTTTTATGACCTTTTATGCCTTAATATACTATGATGTATTTTTGACATTTTATGCCATACTATACTATGACGTTTTTTTCATTTTTCTGCCATAATATGTTTTGCCGTTTTTTGGCATTTTTATGCCTTACTATACTATCTCGTTTGATGCCTGACCATACTACGACGTTTTTATGACCTTTTATGCCTTAATATACTATGATGTATTTTTGGCATTTTATGCCATACTATACTATGACGTTTTGTGGCATTTTTATGCCTAATTATATTATTTCGTCTCATGCCTTGCCATATTATGACATTTTTATCACCTTTTATGCCTTAATAGACTATGATGTATTTTTGGCTTTTTATGCCTTAATATACAATGACGTTTTTTGACATTTTCATGTCTTACTATACTATGACGTTTTTTGAAAATATTATGCCTTACTATACTTTACTTTTTTGACATTTTTGTGCCTTAATATACTCTGATGTTTAATACCATACTATACTTTGACGTTTTTAGAGAATTTTATGCCTTACTATACTATGAATTTTTTCAGACTTTTTATCCTTTAGTATACTATGACGGTTTTATGCCTTATTATACTATGATTTTTTCATTATTTTGTATGCCTTAGTATACTATGACAGTTTTATGACTTACTATGCTATTTTTATGACTTTTTATGCCTGACTATACTATGACGTTTTTATGACTTTTTATCCTTTAATATACTATGATGTATTTTTGACATTTTCTGCCATAATATTTCAAGCTGTTTTTTGGCATTTTTATGCCTTACTATACTATCTCGTTTGATGCCTGACCATACTACGACGTTTTTGTCCTTTTATGCCTTAATATACTATGATGATTTTATGACTTTTTATGCCTTACTATATAATGACATTTTAATAACTTTCTATTCCTTACTATACTATGACGTTTTTATGCATTTTTATGCATTATTGTACTAATGAAGCTTAGTTAGAGTTCAGTCAGCGAGACTGTTGTTCTTCTTATTAGTCTCTCCTCATTGAATGACGTTTTATGACTTACTATCCTACAATGTTTTTATGATGTTTTATGCCTTACTATACTATGACTCTTATATGACTTTTCATACCTTAATATATTATGATGTTTTTATGACTTTTTATACCTCACTATACTATGACGATTTTTGCCTTACATGTTTATCTTACTGTCTAACATGTTTATAATATAAACCGACACACTCGGTTGTACATACATGTTTCTATTAGCTAGACATATAAGTCAATACATGATATTCTTTCAATTTCGAACAGTGTAATTTTTACATATATAGGCTATACTTTGGTCTTAAAAGGTCTTAGATTGAACTTGGTGAACCCTGCAGAAACCCTGGATGTCGATAAAAGAAAATCCATACAGTAAATCTAACCTGCAGCAGTGTTCGCCTTCTTTTTCACAGCATGTCTTCACTGATCCGTGATTCTTCAGAATGTCCTTCTCAACATGCGAGAATGAAATCCTCCAAACATCTGCATGTTGTAGAAGAAAATACTCAAAGGGCAGGGAACTTAAATCAGCTCATGTGAAAGCCACGAAAACAGTAAATATAGTTATTACTACTGTTGCTCCCATAAAGTCCAAACTCATTTCAAATACTAGGTCTCTAGGTATCACCTCTTCATAAAATGATCAACTCAAGATATATTGTAGTATTGTAGTATATAGTAAGTGCTACAGTTTGTGAGTATCCTGATCTGTAAGAGTCTTCATGGTTCACATATGCAATACGTCCCCAAACCACCTTCTATGGCTTCACAGAATTCACTTTTCTCGTGAGACTGTATGTCTTGTACCAATGTAAGTGTTATCATGAACCATATCTTACTGAAATACTGTTTTGCTGAGACCAAATGCATATTTAAACAGCCAGTGAGTTATTTCTATTAATCACAACCTGATGGTGGTTCAGAGAAGTTAGACTTACCTTTAGCCAGGACTCCATCATCATTTTCCACATTGCCATTGCCTTCATATTTTGGGACAAGATAATATGGCTTTCTCCTGTGGGCCTGCCTTATTTTAGTTCCCAGCCAGCTTTCTATTTTAAAGCCATCTTTGGTAAAATCTGGCCAGCTTGATTTAACCTTAAGACAGAGAACAACATCCAGTGAAATGGTGACTGATTGTACTTCTGTAGTCATGGTCACTGCAGGGCAGCCTTTTTTCTTTCTTGTCACCTCCCAACCTGAAAGAAAAAACAAGAAAGACTGTTTGTCCAGAGTCTAAATGTTCTTTATTCATTATTATATTATCTTAATTTTCTTTAAAAATTATTTCTTTAGATCTTTTTCATTGAATATTGACATATATTCCCATCTAAGACAAAAAGGTCACAATAAAACATAGAACATGTTGGCTATAGTGCATGTGGCCACAATTGAAGCTTTAGTCAAATTGAATATCCCCACCCCTCCCCAGCACCATTTTTAAAAAAGGACTTTAAGGTCTCGATGTTGCTCATTTGATCACAGGAAAGGGCAGTTTGTATCTTCCAGCCACAGTGACTGGTTCCCAAATTCCATTTGACCAACTCTGCCCATTTCAAAAACTAAAACATGCAGATATTGGTACTCACCTGGAAATGCCTTGACACATTTCTTCACTTCTTCCCTGAACTCATCAAGCATTTTAGTGGCAGATAATGTGTTGGTGTCCTGAAATCTGCGCAGAGGGCTGTTGCCACGTTTCAATCCCACACTGTAATAGGCTCCATCATTTCCAAATCGTGCAATGGTCACTCGGTCAACAGGAATGGCCAGCATAACATCAAATTCGTCAGGATTAGAAATCTGTATACACAAAAGCATCACTCTGTAATACACTACAAATCATTCAATGACATAATTATTTAAAATACAGTACCTTGCACTGACCACTAACTCTGTCCTTAACAGATGATGGAACAAAGTAATGGTTTGAGGGAACTTACCTTCAGATTTTCATAGTAACTTCCAGTATTTAGTTGTTCTACTTCTTTAAACCAATCAATGTTCTTTTTTACATGCTCAATTATTTTTCCTATTATTTCATTGATGACTTCTGCTGCATTTGCTCTGTCGTTCTTCTTAATCTTCAGTTTATTCAGAGTTGTGAAGAGGATAGAGTCCACTGCAGCTATGTCATTGCCAGCGCCCGTTTTTGCTTTTGTGGTCTTCAGAGAATCCTTTGTGGTTTCCTTTGGAGCCTCTGGCGTCATCTTTGTTGTCTCCTCTGCAGACTGTTCTGTTGATTTGGTTTTGCCAGAACGTTTTCTTGCTTTTGTGGTCTTCGGAGAATCCTTTGTGGTTTCCTTTGAAGCCGCTGGCGTCATATTTGTTGTCTCCTCTGCAGACTGTTCTGTTGATTTGGTTTTGCAAGAACGTTTTCTTGCTTTTGTGGTCTTCGGAGAATCCTTTGTGGTTTCCTTTGGAGCCGCTGGCGTCATATTTGTTGTCTCCTCTGCAGACTGTTCTGTTGATTTGGTTTTGCAAGAACGTTTTCTTGCTTTTGTGGGCTTCAGAGAATCCGTTGTGGTGCCCTTTGGTGTCTCTGGTTTTGTTTTTGTTGCACTGCTAGCACAGGTTTTGGCTTTTGTGTCTTGCACAGGAGCCTTTGTGTTGTCTGTAGGCATCCTTTGCTGCTTGTTGATCTTTTCTTTTTGTTCACTCTGTACAGATGGCTTCTCATCATTGTGGTTTGGCTGTTTCTGCTCCCTTTCCTTTGGTTTCTGTTCCTTTGTGGCACCATTATGCTTCTCTTCTGTAAAGTCTTTCCTCTGACACTTAGTATCTGATGTATGATGTATTTTTGGCATTTTATGCCATAGTATACTATGACGTTTTTTTCATTTTCCTGCCAAAATATGTTTTGCCGTTTTTTTGGCATTTTTATGCCTTACTATTCTATCTCGTTTGATGCCTGACCATACTACGACGTTTTTAATGACCTTTTATGCCTTAATATACTATGATGTATTTTTAACATTTTATGCCATACTATACTATGATGTTTTTTTCACTTTTTCTGCCATACTATACTATGACGTTTTGTGGCATTTTTAAGCCTAATCATATTATTTCGTCTCATGCCTTGCCATACTATGACATTTTTATCACATTTTATGCCTTAATATACTATGACGTTTTTTTCATTTTTCTGCCATACTATACTATGACGTTTTGTGGCATTTTTAAGCCTAGTTATATTTTTTCGTGTCATGCCTTGCCATACTATGACATTTTTATCACCTTATATGCCTTAATATACTATGATGTATTTTTGGCATTTTATGCCATACTATACTATGACGTTTTTTTCATTTTTCTGCCATAATATTTTTTGCCGTTGTTTGGCATTTTTATGCCTTACTATACTATCTCGTTTGATGCCTGACCATACTACAACGTTTTCATGACCTTTTATGCCTTAATATACTACGTCATTTATGACGTTTTTTTCATTTTTTTGCCATAATATTTTTTGCTGTTTTTTGGCATTTTTAAGCCTAATTATATTATTTCGTCTCATGACTTGCCATACTATGACATTTTTATCACCTTTTATGCCTTAATATACTATGATGTATTTTTGGCATTTTATGCCATACTATACTATGACGTTTTTTTCATTTTTCTGCCATAATATTTTTTGCCCTTTTTTAGCATTTTTATGCCTTACTATACTATCTCGTTTGATGCCTGACCATACTATGACGTTTTTATGACTTTTTATGCCTTAATATACTATGATGTATTTTTGGCATTTTATGCCATACTATACTATGACGTTTTGTGGCATTTTTATGCCTAATTATATTATTTCGTCTCATGCCTTGCCATATTATGACATTTTTATCACCTTTTATGCCTTAATAGACTATGATGTATTTTTGGCTTTTTATGCCTTAATATACAATGACGTTTTTTGACATTTTCATGTCTTACTATACTATGACGTTTTTTGAAAATATTATGCCTTACTATACTTTACTTTTTTGACATTTTTGTGCCTTAATATACTCTGATGTTTAATACCATACTATACTTTGACGTTTTTAGAGAATTTTATGCCTTACTATACTATGAATTTTTTCAGACTTTTTATCCTTTAGTATACTATGACGGTTTTATGCCTTATTATACTATGATTTTTTCATTATTTTGTATGCCTTAGTATACTATGACAGTTTTATGACTTACTATGCTATTTTTATGACTTTTTATGCCTGACTATACTATGACGTTTTTATGACTTTTTATCCTTTAATATACTATGATGTATTTTTGACATTTTCTGCCATAATATTTCAAGCTGTTTTTTGGCATTTTTATGCCTTACTATACTATCTCGTTTGATGCCTGACCATACTACGACGTTTTTGTCCTTTTATGCCTTAATATACTATGATGATTTTATGACTTTTTATGCCTTACTATATAATGACATTTTAATAACTTTCTATTCCTTACTATACTATGACGTTTTTATGCATTTTTATGCATTATTGTACTAATGAAGCTTAGTTAGAGTTCAGTCAGCGAGACTGTTGTTCTTCTTATTAGTCTCTCCTCATTGAATGACGTTTTATGACTTACTATCCTACAATGTTTTTATGATGTTTTATGCCTTACTATACTATGACTCTTATATGACTTTTCATACCTTAATATATTATGATGTTTTTATGACTTTTTATACCTCACTATACTATGACGATTTTTGCCTTACATGTTTATCTTACTGTCTAACATGTTTATAATATAAACCGACACACTCGGTTGTACATACATGTTTCTATTAGCTAGACATATAAGTCAATACATGATATTCTTTCAATTTCGAACAGTGTAATTTTTACATATATAGGCTATACTTTGGTCTTAAAAGGTCTTAGATTGAACTTGGTGAACCCTGCAGAAACCCTGGATGTCGATAAAAGAAAATCCATACAGTAAATCTAACCTGCAGCAGTGTTCGCCTTCTTTTTCACAGCATGTCTTCACTGATCCGTGATTCTTCAGAATGTCCTTCTCAACATGCGAGAATGAAATCCTCCAAACATCTGCATGTTGTAGAAGAAAATACTCAAAGGGCAGGGAACTTAAATCAGCTCATGTGAAAGCCACGAAAACAGTAAATATAGTTATTACTACTGTTGCTCCCATAAAGTCCAAACTCATTTCAAATACTAGGTCTCTAGGTATCACCTCTTCATAAAATGATCAACTCAAGATATATTGTAGTATTGTAGTATATAGTAAGTGCTACAGTTTGTGAGTATCCTGATCTGTAAGAGTCTTCATGGTTCACATATGCAATACGTCCCCAAACCACCTTCTATGGCTTCACAGAATTCACTTTTCTCGTGAGACTGTATGTCTTGTACCAATGTAAGTGTTATCATGAACCATATCTTACTGAAATACTGTTTTGCTGAGACCAAATGCATATTTAAACAGCCAGTGAGTTATTTCTATTAATCACAACCTGATGGTGGTTCAGAGAAGTTAGACTTACCTTTAGCCAGGACTCCATCATCATTTTCCACATTGCCATTGCCTTCATATTTTGGGACAAGATAATATGGCTTTCTCCTGTGGGCCTGCCTTATTTTAGTTCCCAGCCAGCTTTCTATTTTAAAGCCATCTTTGGTAAAATCTGGCCAGCTTGATTTAACCTTAAGACAGAGAACAACATCCAGTGAAATGGTGACTGATTGTACTTCTGTAGTCATGGTCACTGCAGGGCAGCCTTTTTTCTTTCTTGTCACCTCCCAACCTGAAAGAAAAAACAAGAAAGACTGTTTGTCCAGAGTCTAAATGTTCTTTATTCATTATTATATTATCTTAATTTTCTTTAAAAATTATTTCTTTAGATCTTTTTCATTGAATATTGACATATATTCCCATCTAAGACAAAAAGGTCACAATAAAACATAGAACATGTTGGCTATAGTGCATGTGGCCACAATTGAAGCTTTAGTCAAATTGAATATCCCCACCCCTCCCCAGCACCATTTTTAAAAAAGGACTTTAAGGTCTCGATGTTGCTCATTTGATCACAGGAAAGGGCAGTTTGTATCTTCCAGCCACAGTGACTGGTTCCCAAATTCCATTTGACCAACTCTGCCCATTTCAAAAACTAAAACATGCAGATATTGGTACTCACCTGGAAATGCCTTGACACATTTCTTCACTTCTTCCCTGAACTCATCAAGCATTTTAGTGGCAGATAATGTGTTGGTGTCCTGAAATCTGCGCAGAGGGCTGTTGCCACGTTTCAATCCCACACTGTAATAGGCTCCATCATTTCCAAATCGTGCAATGGTCACTCGGTCAACAGGAATGGCCAGCATAACATCAAATTCGTCAGGATTAGAAATCTGTATACACAAAAGCATCACTCTGTAATACACTACAAATCATTCAATGACATAATTATTTAAAATACAGTACCTTGCACTGACCACTAACTCTGTCCTTAACAGATGATGGAACAAAGTAATGGTTTGAGGGAACTTACCTTCAGATTTTCATAGTAACTTCCAGTATTTAGTTGTTCTACTTCTTTAAACCAATCAATGTTCTTTTTTACATGCTCAATTATTTTTCCTATTATTTCATTGATGACTTCTGCTGCATTTGCTCTGTCGTTCTTCTTAATCTTCAGTTTATTCAGAGTTGTGAAGAGGATAGAGTCCACTGCAGCTATGTCATTGCCAGCGCCCGTTTTTGCTTTTGTGGTCTTCAGAGAATCCTTTGTGGTTTCCTTTGGAGCCTCTGGCGTCATCTTTGTTGTCTCCTCTGCAGACTGTTCTGTTGATTTGGTTTTGCAAGAACGTTTTCTTGCTTTTGTGGTCTTCGGAGAATCCTTTGTGGTTTCCTTTGGAGCCGCTGGCGTCATATTTGTTGTCTCCTCTGCAGACTGTTCTGTTGATTTGGTTTTGCAAGAACGTTTTCTTGCTTTTGTGGGCTTCAGAGAATCCGTTGTGGTGCCCTTTGGTGTCTCTGGTTTTGTTTTTGTTGCACTGCTAGCACAGGTTTTGGCTTTTGTGTCTTGCACAGGAGCCTTTGTGTTGTCTGTAGGCATCCTTTGCTGCTTGTTGATCTTTTCTTTTTGTTCACTCTGTACAGATGGCTTCTCATCATTGTGGTTTGGCTGTTTCTGCTCCCTTTCCTTTGGTTTCTGTTCCTTTGTGGCACCATTATGCTTCTCTTCTGTAAAGTCTTTCCTCTGACACTTAGGCAGGGATTTGATTTCTTCAGGTGTGGTTTTGCTCTTGGCACATTTAGTGTCCGGGTTCTTTTCCTTTCGTGGTCTCCCTCTGCCAGTCATGATGGTGTAATGAGAGTAATGACACTGCTCTGTCAGAAATACACACTAAGTTTTTCCGGGTGAGAGGTGAGACGAGAACACGCCCCCTTAACTACTTGGCAGACTGCCCTTAAACTGTTTGAGCCTTTTTAGTCATATTGTTCCCATGATAGATTTATAAACTGAGTGTATGATAAATATGGCTTTATATGATCCTCTTACAAAATGTTTGAAAATCAAACAATTGCTATTTTATTCCTTTACCAACAGCTACATCTTGTGGACAAAAGTGTGTATAGTAAGGACACTGTCACTTGTTTGCATCACACTCAGAGAAAATGAATGAAGACCAACATTTTGGTTGAAACATGTTTAATGTTGCAAAGAGGCTCATGCCATCTTACAATAAGGTGCAGTAGCTTATGCCAATTAAAACTTCTCCAGTGCAAGTGCAAAGATAGCAAAATGCCAATCAAAGTGCTTCAAGAATCAACAGGTGGTCTACTCGGAGCCCCTCAGGAAGGACAAATTTGGACCATTTGTTTTAAGTGCCATTTAAAGCTTAAACACAACAAATCACTAAATTCTACTAATCTAACACTCAGGAACATAGTTTTAACTTCTTGCCATAGGCTCCTACAGAGCACCATGTAGTTACAAACAAACACTAAAAGCAAGACAACACGTACCATGTAAAGAGACCAGTACCTGCACTCCAGAGAGCTACAGAAGTGATAAATTACAGTACCTCTACTTGTTCAATGTCTCAGCATCACAGAAAGGTATTGCCATGAACCAAATCAACAGTGGACATTTAAAACTACCTGTTTGATATTACATAGTACGTAATAGTAATCTAACCATTGAAATACGGTCAGGAGTACCGCCTCAAGGACTTAAGATCTAAATGTTGTTCTTTCCTTCGAATGCTTTTGCGATGCATTGTGATGATTAACCAGTCTTTGATTATTAAGTTGAAGCAGCCAATTGTACGATGGAGTTGGATGACCGATGTCCTGCCCTGGGAGACCTTTGGGTCGGCAGAGTAGCACAACATTCATTTGTTCCTCTGGGCCTTCTGGGCAGACTTGGTAACTTTACCAGTGGTGGAGACTTTCTTCTCCACACCCTTTATCACGCCAACAGCCACAGTCTGACGCATATCACGCACTGCAAAACGACCTGCAAGTTGAAGAGGAGTAAAAGACATTTTAGTCCACTTACAGTGGAGTCACAGAACTTGATGAACGATGAGAAAATAATGTCCTGGGAAGCTGCTGAAATTCAACAAATCATTTTCACTTGAACTTACCCAGTGGAGGGTACTCAGAGAAACTCTCCACACACATTGGCTTGCCAGGAATCATATCCACGATGGCAGCATCTCCAGACTTGAGGGATTTGGGGTTGTCCTCCAGCTTCTTGCCAGAGCGGCGATCGATCTTTTCCTTGAGCTCGGCAAACTTGCAGGCGATATGAGCAGTGTGACAGTCCAGCACAGGAGCATAACCAGCACTGATCTGGCCTGGGTGATTAAGGATGATCACCTACAAAGCAAAGGGACAATAAGGATGACCTATTAATTCAAAGATCCACTTTGTGCCAGTCTAAACCAAACAAATCTACACTAGGTGTGTTGTGTGGTATAAATTTTGACAAACCTGGAATCTAGCATGATGACCCAATTGTTGATGTGGCTAAAGTGATGCTTCCCAACAGTAAACATTTCTCAAGGCTAAACATAGTTCAGGCTTAAGACTTAGCTGAATGTTTTTAATCATGCTGATGTTTGATTTCTGAAAATAGATCCTCAGCTTTGTCTACCTGAGCAGTGAAGTTGGCAGCTTCCTGTGGTGGGTCATTCTTGCTGTCACCAGCTACGTTGCCACGGCGAATGTCCTTGACGGACACGTTCTTGACGTTAAAGCCCACGTTGTCGCCAGGCAGGGCTTCAGTTAGTGCCTCATGGTGCATCTCCACAGACTTCACCTCAGTAGTCACATTGACGGGGGCAAAGGTCACCACCATGCCGGGCTTTAGAATGCCTGTTTCCACACGGCCTACAGGCACGGTCCCAATACCTGAGAAAGAGGAGAAAGAAAAGGTCAGCACAGGGAACATAAAATGAAGGTAGTTCAGTCCTGTCCTGAAAAAAATAGTAAATGCTGCTAAATGTTAAGTGCTCTGACTAGGATGTATTTCATATGCCATGTTTTGAGAGTTTATTTCAGAATATAAAACTATCCATAACACCATTCCCACAGTGTAGGGATATTGTCTGTGTTTTAATCAGTGTATTACATGCCTCCTATCTTGTAGACATCCTGCAGGGGCAGACGTAGAGGTTTGTCTGTTGGACGGGTGGGAGGCTGGATGGCGTCCAGAGCCTCCAGGAGAGTGGTCCCTGATGCATTGCCTTCTTTCCTGTTGATCTTCCACCCCTTAAACCAAGTCATCTAGAAAGGAGAAAATAATGTACCACTTTAAACATCTTTTGTAATTAATTTCAATTAAAAAGTTGTAAGCTTCGATAACCGTAGACAACTGATTGGATTTTGTGTCATTTATTTTAGCTGTAGGACATTTTCAGGTAATTACTGCTGACCAAAAAGCTCCATTAGCTCAAGTTTCGTTATAAAAGCAAGACTTTTTATCTTCTAAACTAATTAAATAACACACTCTTGCTCACTTCAGTAGAGCAATGGGGTTTAGGGGTTTTGCCTCTACAGCCTGAAGGGTAGCCTGAGGCGGCTAATGTTAGTAAACATAAGCAATGTCAGTGTAATTGCAAAGGAAGAATGGTATTCAAACTCTTTAGCTGGTCTGACTTGAGTTGGATATACAATCACAGCAACAGGTTAACCTTGGAGCCACAGCTTCCCATTCCACGCACCATCTATACAAATTAGTATTCAAATCCAAGGCTGCATACGTTGTATCAACTCTAATAGCATTTGCATTACTATTCTAATTTTTCTACTTACATTGGGACTGGGCTCAAGCATGTTGTCTCCATTCCAGCCTGAAATGGGTACAAAGGCAACGGTGTCTGGATTGTAGCCAATCTTCTTGATGTAGGTGCTCACTTCCTTCACAATTTCTTCGTAACGTTTCTGGCTGTAGTTTGGCTCAGTGGAGTCCATCTTGTTGATGCCCACAATGAGCTGCTTTACTCCCAGAGTGTAGGCCAGGAGGGCATGCTCACGGGTTTGTCCGTTCTTGGAAATACCTGCCTCGAACTCTCCCACACCAGCTGCCACAATCAGCACGGCACAGTCTGCCTGAAGATGCAGTAGATGAAACATTAGTACCGTTGGTGCACAGCAGCTTTGACCTTTGCACGCATAAATTTGAAAGTTTAATTGTATGATTTTAGTAGAAGGAGTAATGTCTCACACAAAAGTTACAACTTTGATCAAACATTTCTTTGATATCAGTTCTGAGGTGGTCTTAAATGAAATACAACAATATGATCAACTTAGTGCTGTTTATTATGACTTAATCTGTTTGTTACCCTTTGGGGCAAGTCATTATTAGTCATTATCTTAGAATGGCATGCGCTGAATACAAACAGAATGGCTGAGCGCTCTCATGTGACAGACCTGTGAGGTCCCAGTGATCATGTTCTTGATGAAGTCCCTGTGGCCCGGGGCGTCGATGATGGTCACATAGTACTTGCTTGTTTCAAACTTCCACAGTGAGATGTCGATGGTAATACCACGCTCCCTCTCTGCCTTCAGTTTGTCCAGCACCCAGGCGTACTTAAATGACCCCTTCCCCATCTGGGGAATGATTAATAGAGATCACAAGATTAAAAAAATCTCTGCTGTGATTTTATGACAAGCAGCTCAAAGCATGATCTTAAAACAAATGATGTTGTTGCTATACTCTATATTATTCTTTCATATTTGAGTGAGAGGTCAGAGGAGCAGGAGTCAGGTTCTTAAGGAAAAACATCAGCTGATTCAAGAAGGCACCTTCCTCTTGCCTGTATCTTCTTACCTCAGCAGCCTCCTTTTCAAACTTCTCGATGGTTCTCTTGTCAATGCCCCCGCACTTGTAGATAAGGTGGCCCGTGGTGGTGGACTTGCCAGAGTCCACATGGCCGATCACAACAATGTTGATGTGGAGTTTCTCCTTTCCCATGGTGACTGGAGCTGGCTGAAGTCACGAAACAGACTGTCTGCTAAAGCCAGGGTTAAGTTACAGTTAGTACGATACGCAGATGGTTCGCAGGGCAGGAAACAGAAACTGTTGAATGGGCATTGCAAGATAACACATTAGAAAGCCAACAAACATATTGAAGCACTAGGTTTAAAAACACTACTAGAGTGTTAACGCCTCCCTCAACTGACTGGCGCAGAAAGAATTTGAAAGGACATTAAAATGTTGTACAAGGAGGGAGACATTAGTCCCTTTTTATTTTAGTTCATCTGACCTTAAACAAACTGAGTACATTGTCTGTTCTGCCCCGGATGTGTCTGACTGAAGTTGGTGACATTGACAGCTCTTGACTGGCAATAGATGTTTTAGTAAGCGGTGTGTCTCAGAAGATTAGAGGTGGTATCAATGGCCACTGAACTGCGCCAAGCACAAAACCCTCTGCCCCTCCTACTCTCTATTCCTCCATCCATCCACACCCCTGCTCTCCTGTCCTCACTGCCCCGCTCCGCTCTGACAACAAGGCTCTGATGTTTCACAGCACTGTCCTCTTTATCACAGCCACAGTTAATACAGCTTCACCACAAGCCAGAATCCACCATTTTGTCAGGTCCTCTCCGCTGAGAGTGTAGCAGCCATTTCTCAGACACTGCAGTGCACTGCACACAGAGCAGAAAACACACTGTTGTTAACTCTGCAGGAGTGTTATGTGATAACCCACATAATAACACAAACACTACAAAGTTTTCCTTTAAATAGTCCAACTGAGTGTGGCTTCATTATATTTTGTCTGAATCTACTTTTTATCTGATAGAAAGGCCAGTAGCTTAATCCAACTGTAACATGAATCCCCACATGAT